ATTACCTCTTTATTTTCTAGAGGAGAGGTTAGCTCACAATTCTGGATATCATATTTTCTCATCCAATGTGCAATTTTACTGTCCTTGCATTGGGTTTGTTGTTGTCCATGATGTGCATATGATGCTGGACCCTGTTTCTTTAACAAGTATAGTGATGCTTATGTATGAGAACATGATCTTGGCAGGAGCAAAATGCCTTAACTTTTCCTGGCTTTTGAGATATTGATTTATTTTTTCCATCCCTTTTTCCATTTTATATGCATCAACCCATTTGGGATTATGTGATCTTTTGAAATTGGGCAGGTAATGGTGGGATCAATGAAAACAATTTGACCACAACATTTCAATAATGTGTGAGAAATAGAGACTAGAGCCCTTTAATTCAAAATCTTAGCTGTAGTACATGGGGTCATCCTTTGCACTCCCCAAGTGGTCTCGTTGAAATGATATTAAACCCTTTTATTAAGTCATCGTTATTGAATACGGATAGGTGGTAGAGATTGATGAATCAATAAGTGCATCAAGTTTGAGGGGGTGTTTAATACTCAAAATAACAGTCAAAAGAGTGAAAAGAGGGGGGAACAAAGTGAAAAGGAAGAAGAAAAAAGGAAAAAAGGGAAAGTGCTTCTAAACATTTTTAAACTTAAAGGATGAGAATAAGATCACAAATGAGATTCTCGCATCTTGGTTCTTGAGATTATCACACGATCAATGTTGTTTCTGTGAACCCACAAGGAGGGAAATGCTCTCTTTTTCAATAAATCAACTATCAATGAATTTTCATATCAAAAATGGAAAAACTATCTATAAATTTTAGCATCAACAAGAGTAAAGTTTAAGGGGAAAAACAAAAAGGGTTATGGCTAGAACAAAAAGAACATTTAACACTCCGTCATTAGGTCATTTTGACATTTATTAATTACCAAATTTTGGTTTCTTACTTGGTAAAAAAATAAAAACTAAATTTTAATTTGACATTTAGAAATTGGATTCTAAACCTATGTCGAGCTAAAAAAATTCTGAACCTATGTATTAAGTTCAAGGTACAAATTTGTGATTTCTAAAATGCATGCATAAAACACAAGATGGGAGAAAAAAAAAATGAAAAACCACATGAATATCCATGAAATGCAATTTTTAATTATATAACATAGCATGGAAAATGGATCTCTGCCTTGTGATCTGAATAATAAGAACTTCTAATTTTAAGTACTAAATAAATATAACAAAAAATTATTTTATTATATAAATTGTATTGAACTATAAAATATAAATATAAAATAAGTAATAAGCTTTTAGATATTAAAAGATATTTTTTTATTTAATAGTATTTATTTTATATTATAATATAATTTATCTTCTATTTA